GCACGGGGGTCGCCCTTTCCTCTTCCCCTCCGTTTCCCGGCGCCCGGCGAGTGTCTGCCAGGGCTCCGGGTGCCGCCTAGCGGCCGTGCCCGCAGCCCCATCCTCATGGAGGAACCGCTGGTCCTGCACCCCGTGAAGCTCTATGTCTACGACCTGTCCAAGGGCATGGCCCGGCGCCTCAGCCCCCTCATGCTGGGTAAGAGCACGGCAGGGGCACTGGCACCGGCCACCTCCGTGCGGGGCCCGGCCCGGCATTCCTCTCCCGCCGCCGCCGCCTCCCGGGGGCTTGTGTACCCCCCACGGCCCGGCCTCGCCGCGCCAGTAAACGGGGACGAAATCATCCCCCCCCTTCAGCCCTGGGGGTAGCTTTTTCCCACCTGGTATCACTGTCCCGAGGGAACGACCCTCTGGGGAAGGGCTCCCTGAGGGCAGGGGCTCGACCGCTGCGCGCGGTGGCTGGTGGCTGAAGCCCGACTTGCCAGTGCGCAGGCCTGGCTCGCGTGCCCCGTGCGTGGGAACAATGTGGGGTTCAGCTGCGGCATCCCTGTCTCCGCTGTCAGCGGAACGAGCTTTGTCAGTGAGGCAGCTCCCGATGAACAGAGTCTAGCCTCGTTTCCCCCATCTGACCTTTGCCGCTTCGTTGGCGTTATTTACTAAAAGCTAATTAAAACTATTAGCCGCTGAAGTGAGGGAAGGCTCAGTTTCCGAACCCCTGACTGTTGTGACGCCTTGGCAGGAAGGCTAAACTGGAAGAAAGCTGCCTGCTATTTGCAAGGTTATTGAGTTCAGATAGCTCCATGTTGTGGTAAGGCTGGACTGGTCTAGGCGTTGGGTGGCTTGTGGTGTGCAGCTAGCCACCTTCTCCTTCCAGGGAGTTTGTAAAAGTTTGTTGTATGCCTCATCAAGAACATGTGCGTTTCGTACTGAACCTTGGGATGGGGATGCAGAGGAAACTTAGGTTTTGCTTTAAGTTTTGGAAATAGGAATTAGGAACCCAGTGAGAGAGTGGTTTATACTTGTTACATGTAGACTCTGGCCTGCATCAGACCATCAGTCTATGTGAGATGAGACTTCTCCACAGGCTCAGTGTCTGAACAGATGGCTCTGTGTAATCTTGTTTTACAATTTGTTGGCATTCAATTCGCTCCTCTGTCCTATGAGATTCTGTGCTTTCCTGCAACTTAAAATAAAAGTCCAAATAATTCTTAGCATGAGGTTTCACATACGTCAACAGTAGCTTGCGAAGTATTACAGAGATCATATGTGATGTGCTCTGTTAGCCAGACAGCCACAGCAGCTTGGGGAGATGTGCATTTCCTGCACTGCATAACCTCAAAACTTTTTGTGTGGTCAGAGTCGCTTCTGTTATAGCCCTCAGGGAAGTAACTTTTCACCTGTTAGTTCATAATAGCCATGTTTTATCTTGTGCTAAGAGTTATAAATCTGAAGACAGAAATTACATGTGTGCCTGATTTACCTGTGTTTGAGGTGAGCATATTTTAACAAGTCTTATTTCAAAGCATTGGTCCAAGACTTGTACAGAAATAGGTTGTTACTACATGAATCTCCATGCCAACCTTCACATAGGTTGAGTGAAAGCTTTTTAACTCTCTTCTTACCCAGAAAGTCAATCTTGGGATCTTGTAGCTTTCTGAATTTCCACATAAAAAGACTTAGTGCATGACTTCATTTTTGGTGCATTTAATGCTATCCAAACAATGACTTTAAAACTTTGTGCTTGTGATACAGTTTGGTGCTGAATTTCTAGGAGTCTGAGCAACAAAAAGGAAAACTTTAAAAATCTGAACACGTCTCTTGGTAGTGTGGGAAGTATTGCTCACTAGTACTGCCTAGTAACTAGCCAAGATCAGACATGTTTGTGGAACAGGGCCAAGTAGGCCTGCATGGTCACAGTGACAATGCAGACTGCAGAATACTTGTGATTATGTGGATCCAGCGACTGGATAGTCTGTAAGATAGATTACTGTTTGTTCCTTTTTTATTTCAAGTTAAGTATCTTTTGTGCGTTTACACTCAGCTCTGTTATACCTCCACATTATTTTAGAAACCTTCCCAAGAGCAGAGAGGTAGGGAGAATATTCCTCTTGCCTCATGTACACACCCGTTTTTCTGTGAATAACAACAAAAACTATTGCTGCTTTCAGATAGTCAATAGCTATTTTTCTTTTTTTTTTTTTTTTTTTTTTTTTTTTTTTTTTTGGTCAGTGATATTCATAAACTGTACATCATCACAGAAAGTCACAGAAATTGAAGAGGAAAGGATTTTTTACATGATTTAGTGCTAAACATTTGTCACCTTTACTTATGGTATTATTTGCGTAGGTGCCAAGTTTGATTGAAACAGGGCTTTTGCTTTGAGCGATAATTCTGTAATATCACCTATATTGAAATACATGTGTGTTAGAGAGAAGAAACAAATACGGTAATTAATTGTGCCAGAATCCTAGCGTGCTTGAAAACAGCAGCTCAGGTCGCCCTGCTAGAGGGGAATGAGTCCCTTTCTTATGGGGTTGACCCCTGGAAAAGCATCACCACATGGTGTCTTCAGTTATTCTAATAAGATCTAGAGGTATTATGGATTATGTCAGTACAGCATTCAAGGATCAGCTCTCACCACTAAATGTTATCCTGACTTTTTCAGTATCAGTTCTCTCCATTGTCGCTGAATGATGAACCTGGAAGGCAGAGCTCATAACAGGCTTTAGGGTGACTTAATCATGCCCTTTGGGCATGTCTTCACTTTTCTTGGCAAGTTTACTCTTTTTCTACCCAGACTACTTTTCTTCTTACTTTTCTGTGAATTTCCTGTAATTTTTCAGTGCAAAATTTCTATTCTAAAGTATACATGAGCAAATATTGTAGTTCAATTGCCTTTGATATCATTTGTTTCATTTTTGTGTGCTGCTGTTCTGCGTACACCTTCTCTACAGGTATTGCTCCCCCTCGCTTCCCTATTCTCAGTCTGTGAGACTATATTTGCCTGTTGTCCAGCTACATGATCTAATAATAATAAATGTTAACTTGAATGCACTGAGATTTCTGTTTTTAAGACAGAAACCATAATCCACCTGATTTTGTGGAGGGTAGAGAGGAAACAGAACAGTTCAGCTTGCAGTGCTGATTTTGAAGTGGATATCCAAAGACAGATAAATCTTTAAGAAAGATTTAAATCCTATGGTCTTTAAATCCTTATGGGCTTAAAGAAAAAAAGTCTTGCAGCTCTCAAGGTTCTCCTGTCTTGTAACTGCGGTTGTTGCTCATGTGACTCGCAGAATGGGCAGGAGCCTAGTTTACCACAGTAGTTTTGGCTTGGTGTATGAGTTGATTGGGTGTATGTACCTGTTGAAATTTTTGCATGGTGCATTCAGCTGTAGGGATTTAACAACCCAGAAGGAATCTGAGAGAAAGGTAACTGCTGAAAGGAGGTACCTTCTGCTTTATTCCTTTTTTGCAGACCCAGTGCATTACTCTGCCTCTCCTCCACACATCCTGAAGAGTTTTGAAGTGCTCCAGTGTGAGATTCCATCAGCTTTGCTCCAGAGCATTTGCTAGGGATTTAAAGAAAATCAAGTGCATTACTCTCCCTCAGTCTAGCCTACTTCTTGGTCTCTCTAGGTACCTCAAGGAGAAGGGAATTGAAGCAGGCTCCTCCCTCCCATTAGTTTTTTTGCTTCAGTTGAGCCCCCTGCGTAGCGCATAGGAAAAAGTGCTTGAGTAATAAGGATAATTTTCAATTTGAAAAGGGCATGAATCTTAATGGATTGGCCTGAGGAAATTACAATATGTAAAGCACTGCTAGAAATATCCATGCTGGGCAACCAGATTATATTGTTTCCAGTTCCACAGGAGACCAGTTCACTACTTGTTGGGGGTCTTTTAGGGTCTTCTGGGGCTTCCTATTATTTCTTTACTGCTTGGGAATGGGTGGTGTTCTTGCACTGAGGAATGGATGGCCTAAGCTCTGAATGGAGCACATTTATGTGCCCATCTTCTCATGTAATTCCTTCATGTTTCGAAATTCTTCTGTCCTTCAGTCTAATATTTTGGATTAATATACAAACACCACTTTCATTTGATATTTAAAATGCACAGGAACAAATTACATCATGTGGCCCTCAAGATGTAACAAATTAACTGTGCTAGTGAAATAGATTGGTGAGCGTCTAATCTCCCTTCAACTTGGTGTTCCAGATAAATCCAAGCTTGGAAGTAATCCCGTTTGATTGTATTCTAAAATTATACAGGCTTGCTTGCTTCTTTCAAAATACCCTTGTATTCTAACAATTACAGTCTCCTGAGTCAGTTGTACAACAAACAAATCTAACTACTTCATTCTCCACATTCCTGTGACTAAGCTGAGGGTCTTGGAATTGTTTAACACATTTGAATGTTGTATTTTTCTCATAGGTTTCTGGCTCATATAAGCACCATGAACGTATTTGAGCTATGAATGTTATAAAGAAAAATAACAGCGAATAAAAAAACTTGTTTGCTTGTCAGATGATACTCTGCCTCATTCAAGTAAAACAAATCTTTGAGATGCTTAAGCACACAGATCTGTGCTGAACTGGCATCCTATTCTGAGTTCTCATCGAGTATTTTCAGGAAAGATCCATATAAGCACCTCAGCAAGTGAAAAAACCAAACAACTAAACCCTTAAAGATCAGGTATGTGATCAGGTTTCCAAAGACTGACAAACTAGCACCCTAAACTCTTACAGCTACAACACATTAACTTTCATGTCCATGTTGGTGGTTGTGACAAATGCAAGGTAGTTTGACTTGTATTAGCTAGTAGTGGAAGCAGATCAAATTAAGTTGAATTGCTTCACGTTTACTTCAGCCTGAGCTGGCACACAGGCAATTATTGTGGGACAACTGATACCTGGTAACTCGACTCTGTGCACTAACTGTTGTATGGTTAAGTGTGTACATCTAAATTTGCAACACCCTTTCCTTCTCAGCAACTCTCTGCCCTTGAAGTATTCAAACTCTCTGAGCATCTTGCTATTTCTGTTTTACCTGGATGAACAGTAGACATTCAGGAGTGTAATCCCATCCGGACATTCCTGTTCTGCATTATATTCATGTGCATCATTTGGATTAGCTTTGCTGTAAGTATTGAGTGTAGGGTAATTCCTGTAATTTAAAGGCTTTGGTAGCAGTACTCGTGTA